TCCCAAGTCATGTTTTTGAGCGAGGAAGCTGTGCCAGGCTGGATCTCTGTTACTGAGAGAGGAAGCTGTGCCAGGCTGGGTCTCTGTTTTTAAGTGAGGAAGCTGTGCCAGGCTGGGTCTCTGTTTTTGAGTGAGGAAGCTGTGCCAGGCTGGATCTCTGTTACTGAGAGAGGAAGCTGTGCCAGGCTGGATCTCTGTTTTTGAGTGAGGAAACTGTGCCAGGCTGGATCTCTGTTTTTGAGTGAGAAAACTGTGCCAGGCTGGATCTCTGTTACTGAGCGAGGAAACTGTGCCAGGCTGGATCTCTATTTTTGAGGAAGCTGTGCCAGGCTGGATCTCTGTTTTTGAGTGAGGAAGCTGTGCCAGGCTGGATCTGTTTTTGAGTGAGGAAACTGTGCCAGGCTGGATCTCTGTTTTTGAGTGAGGAAACTGTGCCAGGCTGGATCTCTGTTTTTGAGTGAGGAAGCTGTGCCAGGCTGGATCTCTATTTTTGAGTGAGAAAACTGTGCCAGGCTGGATCTCTATTTTTGAGGAAGCTGTGCCAGGCTGGATCTCTGTTTTTGAGTGAGAAAACTGTGCCAGGCTGAATCTCTATTTTTGAGTGAGGAAACTGTGCCAGGCTGGATCTCTGTTTTTGAGTGAGGAAGCTGTGCCAGGCTGGATCTGTTTTTGAGTGAGGAAACTGTGCCAGGCTGGATCTCTGTTTTTGAGTGAGGAAACTGTGCCAGGCTGGATCTCTGTTTTTGAGTGAGGAAGCTGTGCCAGGCTGGATCTGTAGCACACCTTGAACCTAAACCTTCTCCAGCTGAGATCAAAGTCTTGGAGGAATGCAAAGGTGAAGGGGCCCCCTGAGAATATGGAACTGAGACAGATCTGTGTCACCCTTTATGGAAAAACCCAGAATAACTGCCATGTGCTCTGTGACCTTTGATGTGGATTCTGTCAGCACGAGGAATCTTTTGAGTAGTGATGAAGATCTTGGATATGTTGGTGGTTTCACAGCTGTCAGAATTCACCGAATTGCACAGATTAAACGGATGCCATCGGTTTGCAAATTAATCCTTGATAACGCTGATTAAAAATCCCTAATGAAGATCTAAAAGGAAAAGAGGCAGGGAGGAGAATCCAATACACAGAAGCCATTCTGTAAGGGCCGGGCGCAGTGGGTCATGCCTGTAATCCCAGCACTTCGGGAGGCTGAGGCCCGTGGATCACAAGGTCAAGAGATCGAGACCATCCTGGTCAACACGGTGAAACCCCATCTCTACTAAAAATACAAAAAATTAGCTGGGTATGGTGGCGTGTGCCTGTAATCCCAGCTACCTGGGAGATTGAGGCAGAGAATTGCTTGAACCGGGAGGTGGAGGTTGCGGTGAGCCGAGATGGCGCCACTGCACTCCAGCCTGGGTAACAAGAGGAGCAGGAAAGTCATTCTCAGGAGCAGCTTTGTTTTGGCCTCCTGTTGAATGTTAAGTTTCAGAACAAATGTAGTATCCCTTGCAACCTTGAGAAGTTGGAGAGTGATTTTAATTCATTCTTATAATGAGGTGGAAGCTTCTGGAATCTGTACCCCTGCCCTTTATCCTTCTGCCCCACGGTCTTCATAACCATGAAAATAAAGTTCAGTTATTCATAGTCATATAATCGTCAGGTGAGAAGCAGTTTCAGTATTCGGCTTGAGTCTGGGGGTTCCATCTTTCTTTAATTTTTGACTGCAAAGCCTTCACTTAGTTTAAGGAATTAAAAAATCTTCAATATATTATAGGAAGCAGTTTAGTTGGTTAATTGTCTTCTTCAGATGGATTGCTGTCCCATGGACTTAGTCTAACATATTCATAGAAGATGGATTAGGTTGGAAGGACGCATCAGAACTGCAATGTGCAGAACTCCGTGAGACCAGGGTTTAGCGTCAGTTCCCCTGTCTGTCCACGAGATCCGAGCTTGAGACCATGACAGCCACCACGTCTCGGGAGGGAGACTCGTCAGCAGTGCAGTGGTCATGTGGAATGTTTCAATGTTTTTGAAATATTTTCACTATTTTGATGCTAAAAGCTTTTTTTTTTTTTCTGAGATGGAGTTTCTGTTGCACAGGCTTTTTATGAAACCCACTCTTATCAAGAGATGGATGTCGTTCCCAGGAACACTGTCTTATTCTGCATTAAGTGTGATTGGTCATATCTTGTCACGTGCCCTGCTCTGAATCAAACACTGAAAGTGCATTGCTAAAATTGCCTTCATCTAAACTCCATTTCCCTCCCACTGGCTCCCTGGTCTTGGAGCTTCAAACACAACTGGCTTTCTGTGAGTCAGGAAGAAGTGAGCACGGCTGCTGTGTAGACCCTTGTCAATGTCTGCTGCACTTACACCTGGAGACAAGATCCCCAGGGTCCTCAGAAGCAGTGGAGATGAGGATCAGCTGTGTGACGCAGAAATGCACTGCTGGTCCGGGTCCTGCTCCTCATTCCAGCACCCAGCTAGGTGTCCATCTGGCCCCACACCTCAACACCAGGTTCTAAGCACAGTCTCCTGACCACTCAACCCCCTCAGGATTTTGCATGTGCAGGTGGACCACTGCACCCCTACTGCAGCCAAATGACACTGAGGGATGAGGGGAAGATAACTCATGTTGGGGGGGGAGAGAGAGAGAGAGAGAGAGAGAGAAAGAGAGAAAGAGAAAGAGAATTTGTTATATAATATATATAATAACAATCAAACTTGTTAGTTGGGCCGGGAGTGGTGGCTCACACCTGTAATCCCAGCGCTTTGGGAGGCTGAGGTGGGCAGATCATCTGAGGTCAGGAGTTTGAGACCATCCTGGCCAACATGGTGAAACCTCGTCTCTACTAAAACACAAAAATTAGCCAGACATGGTGGTGTGTGCCTGCAGTCCCAGCTACTCTGGAGGCTGAGGCAGGAGAATTGCTTGAGCCCAGGAGGCGGAGGTTGCAGTGAGCTGAGATCATGCCATTGCACTCCCGCCTGGGAGTCAGAACAAGATTCCATCTCTGAAAAAAAAATTAACTGTGTATATATAATTATAATACTTTATAGATATTAATTATATATGAACTTGTATATATTATTAATAATTATAGCATATATATTAACACATATATAAAAACATAATTTGTTATATATAAACTATTGTATATAATTAGTGTATAAAAACATAAACAACTTGAAGTAATATTACATTAATTATATTATGATTATATGTAATTATGATTATTTCTATATAATATTTGTTATTACATATCATTGTTAGAACACTTAACATGAGCTCTGTCCTCAACAAATTTCAGGTGAACGAGACGTTATTGTTGGCCATAGGTCGTCTGTTGGATGGCAGCACGCCTGTGTTAGTAATGCCCCGTTTCCCTCTCCTCCCAGCCCCGGGAACCACGATTCCCTGCTGTGAAGACCTCGCGTAGGTCACATCACGCAGTCCCTGACCTGCATCTGGCTCACCTGGCGTGGTGTCCTCAGTCTGTCCGTGGCAGAACTTTCTTCCCGTGTGTGTGCGTTTTCTTCTCCACCCATCTGTAGTGGGCGTTCAGATTATTTTCGTGTCTTAGCGATTGTGAATGGTGCTGCAATGATCAGGGAGTTCAGACGGCTCTCTGGAATACTGAATTTGTTTCTTTCAAATATCTACCCAGAAGGGGTGTTGCTGGGTCATATGGTAGCTCTATTTTTAATATTTTGAGGAACCTCCCCACTGCTTTCTATAGTGAGTGCACGACTTTTCAGCCTCCCAGAGTGCTGGATTGTAGGATATTTTTGACGTGTGAAATACCTTGTTGGGATTTTAGCAAAGGTCACGATATTAAAAACATGGGGAAGGTCTTATATGACTCTTGTTTCAAACATGAGGCAATGTTGGCTCCTGGTTTTGTAACGTGTTGCCCAGGAGCACTGGCCGTTGACTTGTGGAGTTGGGATGACGTCCCAGTGAGTTTGCTGCATGCCCTTTATTCTGCCTTGTCCCAGAGATTTAGAAAATGTACACATCAGATAAGCACCTTAACGTCATCTGTTTATGTGAGTAAGCGACATTTTTTCAGAAACCAAGGCCTGCCTCTGGTATCTCTAGTGGCAAAGGTGGAGGGGACAGGATAAAAAGCTCTTCCTCTTGTGTGAGGCAGTTGCTGTGGGAACCCCATAGGCAGGAGGTGCCCGGCCAGCACAACCTGCCAGCTTGCATCTGCTGCAGAGTTCTAGGACCGGGGTCATGTCTCCCCACCCCACTGCCCTCCTGGGTCTAGGTAAGTCCTGGAGGCAGCGGGGAGGACTGGAAAGTTCCCTGCTCAAGCCTGACTCCAGTCCAGAGGATTCTTGGGGGAGAAGTGTCTTCCTTCCCCAAGACTGCCCTGCTGCTCTTCCTGGGGCCTAAGTCTGACCAGAGAAGACCTTGTTCTAAAAACAGGGGCCTGGGTGTGGGGATGAGGTCACTTTTAAGAGGGGCTGGGGTGCCGGGCACGGTGCTCATGCCTGTAATCCCAGTACTTTGGGAGCCGAGGAGGGTGTATCACCTGAGGTCAGAAGTTTGAGACCAGCCTGGCCAACGTGGTGAAACCCTGTCTCTACAAATACAAAAATAGCCAGGCATGGTGGCTCACACCTGTCATCCCAGCTACTCAGGAGACTGAGGCAGGAGAATTGCTTGAACCCAGGAGGCGGAGGTTGCAGCGAGCCGAGATCATGCCATTGCACTCCAGCCTGGGTAACAAGAGCAAAACTCCATCCCCACAAAAAAAAAAAAAAAAAAAAAAAAAGGCAGCACTGAGGAGCAGGAGTCTTTTTGGAAGAGGAGACTTTGGGATTTATCTTGAAACCAGTTTGCAGCAAGAAGGATTATACTCAGACAGTGATGTGGAGGAGGGGCGGTTTGGTCATTATGAAATGCTGAATGTGCCCAGCTGCACGGAGCCGCCTTTTGATAGCAGCCCTATGTGAGGACTGGGTGGTGGGCATTTCTCTCACTGTGGCTTCTCTTCCAGTGCTCTGCCTGGCCCAGATGATCCACACGCAGGAGGGTGAGTCCCGTCTTCATCCCGTCTCCCCAGTCTCCTCTGTACCCCAAGGGCAGTTCTGGGTGGGAGTGAAGTTGATTCTCAGAGGGCCTGGAGGGATCCCTGAAATGTGCCCTAGATTGCAAACGATTCCACATGGGAAATGCGCTGCCCTCACCCCTTTCTCTCTTTTATTCTCCACCTGTCATATTTTGCTTTTCTTATTTTTAACTGACAAATCTTATTTTTAATTGACAAATAATTATGTATGTTTGTGGGGTACAATGTGATGTTACAGCGGATGTAAACATTGTGGACAGATTAAATAAGGATAGCTAACATACCAATCACATCACATACTTATTGTGATGAGAACATTCAAAACCTACTTTTAGCAATTTTGACACAATAAGTTATTATTAACTATAATCATCCTGCTGTGATGGATCTCAAAACTTACTCTTCCTGACTAATAGAAACTTTGTATCATTTGATCAGTGTCCCTCCCAAGCTCCCGACCCCCAGCCTCTAATACCATTACTCTACTCTCTACCTCTGTGAGATGACTTGTTTTTTGAGATGGAGTTTCACTCTTGTCGCCCAGGCTGGAGGGCAGTGGTGCAATCTTGGCTCACTGCAACCTCTGCCTCCCAGGTTCAAGTGATTCTCCTGCCTCAGCCTCCTGAGTGACTGGGATTACAGGCATGCACCACCACGCCTGACAATTTTTGTATTTTTAGTAGAGACGGCGTTTCACTATGTGGGCCATGCTGGTCTCAAACTCCTGACCTCAGGTGATTCACCCACCTTGGCCTCCCAAAGTGCTGGGATTACAGGTGTGAATCACTGTGCCCAGCCAAGATGAACTTTTTTAGATTCCACATGCGGCGTTTGGCTTTCTGTGCTCGGCTTATTTCACTTAGGGTAATATCCTCCAGTTCATCCATGTTGTTGGAATGACAGAACGTCCTTCTTTTTCTGGGCTGAATAATATTCCATTGCATATGCACACCACATTTTCCTTATCCATTCCTTTGCGGGTGGACGCTCAGGTTATTTCCACGTCTTGGCTGCTGTGGGTCATGCTGCAGTCATCACAGGAGTGCAGGCGTCACTTCCACACACCGATTTCCACAATGGTGATTCAAATCCAACATGACCAAGGCTGAGCCCGGGAGCTTTCCCCAGATGAACCCACGCTTCCCTCAGCAGCCCTTTGGCGGGGAATATGACAGTCACCAAGGGCAGACTCTGAAGATTCATCCTCTTCTCCATCCTCCTAGGTGCATCCTGTCACCCAGTCCTGGTGATTTCACTCTAAATTTTTCCCATCTTTCCCTCTCTCTTCATGTACTTTTCCTGTGTCTCCCCCAAGTGACCGCACCTCTCCCCTCCGCGGCTCCCCGAGGCCGGCCTCAGCCTGTCCATGCCCCTGCTGCCTGCTCCCTTCCTGACACTGGGGACGTTGTGATTTGTGAAAGCATAAACATGACCATTGTACTGTCCACAGTTTTTAAACTGTATTTAAACATTTCCATTTCATATCTCATTGTAAGATGAAATATCATTTTTTCCCTCAGAGCCCTTCCCATTTATCTTCAGGTAGAATCAGACCCACGCCCCTCTCTTTGGTCTGGACATGCCTATTTTCCCAGTCACATCCTGTCCTCGTGACTTTGGGCTCACTCATCTGTACATTCCTCCAGCTGCTTTCACTTTCTCAAACACTCCATATTCTGTTCAATATTGGGCTGTCTCACATGCTGATTTTTTTTTTTCTTTGAGATGGAGTTTCATTCTTGTTGCCCAGGCTGGAGTGCGATGGCACAGTCTTGGCTCACTGCAACTTCTGCCTCCCAGATTGAAGCAATTCTCGCTGCCTCAGCCTCCCGAGTAGCTGGGATTACAGGCGCCCAACACCCTGCCTGGCTAATTTTTTTTTTTTTGTAATTTTAATAGAGACTGGGATTCACCATGTTGGTCAGTCTGGTGTCAAACTCCTGACCTCAGGTGATCCACCCGCCTCAGCCTCCCAGAGTCCTGGGATTACAGGTGTGTATGTCAACATTGTGGACAGATTAAATAAGGCTAACATACCAATCACATCACATACCTATTGTGATGATTACCTTTAAAATATACTTTTAGCAATGTCGACACATATAAGTTATTAACTATAATCAGCCTGCTGTGATAGATCTCAAAACTTACTCTTCCTGTCTAATAGATCAAATAGAAACTTTGTATCATTTTATCAGTGTCCTTCCGAAGCTCCCGACCCCCCAGCCTCTAATACCAGACCAGACTACGCCTGGTCTGATTTTTAAAAATTGATTAATTTAGTTTAAAATTGGCCAATGAAAACTGCATGTATTTCTCATGTCCAGTATGGCTCTGTGGGCTACGCACAGTGTGGAACGGCTGCATCGAGCTAGGTCACACAGGCATTCCTCCCATGCTAATCATGTTTTGTGGTGAGAACTAGAACACCTCTATTAGCAGTGTCCAGAAATGCGATACACTGTTGTCCACTTGCAGTCACTGTGTTGTACATTACTTCTCTTGAGTTGATTCCTCTGTAACTAAAACTTTGTATCCTTTGAGCACCATTCACTGGCCGATTTTCCCACTTTGAGTGCCCTGGTGTCCCGTCTGCTCAGCTCAGGTAGCTTCTACTCCTCCCTCGCCCCTCTCTCCCCTGTCCTTCATGAGCGACCGTGTCATCCCCATGCTGTGCCTCCCTCCCACCCTCTGTCCCTCTGGAAAGTGGCCCTGGGCTCTGCAGCAGACAGGAAGGGCCCCAGGCCGCTCTGACTCTTCCCACGTGACCCTGAGCGAGGCTCAAGCTGTGAGCAAGTCTCAGGGTCCTTAGTGTCCACTGGGAAAATAACTCTGTAGCGATGAGAATTGACACGCAGGTGGAAGGTGCAGGAGACGGGAAATGATCTAAAGTTGGGCTGTGGTTGCGGCTGCATAACTGTATAAAATTGCTAAAAACCCTGAATTGTGAGGCTAAAATGACGTGTGTGGCATGGTGACCTCCTGCAGTGGACACTGAGTCCTTCTCTGCTTCCCTCCTAGGGGCCCTGCCCAGACCCTCCATCTCGGCTGAGCCAGGCACCGTGATCCCCCTGGGGAGCCCTGTGACTTTCCGCTGCCAGGGCCCAGTTGGGGTTCACGCATTCCGCCTGGAGAGGGAGAATAGATTCCAGTACAAAGATAATTATGATGTGTCTCTAGTTAGTCCATTTTTGTCAGAGGCCACATTCCGCATTGACTCAGTGAGTGAGGATAGCGCCGGGCATTATCGCTGCATCTATCATAAGGCCTCCAGATGGTCTCAGCACAGTGAGCAGCTGGAGCTGGTGGTGAAAGGTGAGGACGCCACCTGGGCCCTGCCCTAGTCTCAGCTCTGCCCTCGAGCTTGTCCCCAGGTCCCTGGACCCTGTTCCAGCTGCTGTCCTCTCTCTGTGGCCACCCTTGCCCTCCTCCTGACCCCCAAGCCCTGCCCTCCCCCTCTCCCTCTGCGCACACCTCCACCCTGCCGTCACACTTGCTTAGGTCCCTGGAGCCCTGGTCCCCTCTGGACACCACAGATGGCCTGGACACTCAGCCCCAGCAGCGGGTGGGCTCAGAGATGCCTCTGCTTGGCTGGGTGGGGAGTGGGTTCCCAGAGATTAGGGGGCAACCCCCCTACAAGGGGCTGAGCGTCTTTTCACACAGGATGGATGGTCCACTTGTTATTCCTCTCCCCTGAGCCAGAACCTGCCCCAGGGAATGTGCTCCTCCTGCTGTGGCTCATCTCCCATTGGGCAGAACACAGGGTCCAGGGTGGCTCCTGACCAGGGCTGGGCAGTACTGTGGGACATCCTCTGGTGTGTGACCACACGGACCCCTGTGTGTGCTCAGCCGCAGAGACGTCCTGGAGTCCAAGTCCAATCCACTTTCATGTACCCCCAGGGCCTCAAAGGAGTCCCCTGAGGTCAAGCAGAGCTGGTGGTGGGAGGAGCAGAGGGAGTGACCAGTCCCCGGCAAAATGGGGTAAGGGCTCTTCCCATTAATACTGAGCAAGTATTCTCTCCTCACAGGGACTGTGCCAGACACGGAAGCCTCTGGGTTTGACTTACTATGAATGAGGAGAAATGGCCTCCAGCCTTGTGAACCTCAATGGGGAGAAATAATTGGAGTGAGCAATAGAAATGTACATCTGCCTTTACATGCATGTACAAATAAAAATGTATGATTTGTAATGTGAAATTTCAATCTATTATTTAAATTATATTAAATATGTTACATCATATATTATGTATATAAGGAACATAATAATTATTATTTATTCTATTATTTTATTTTTATTTATTTTTTGAGATGGAATCTCTCTGTGTCATCCAGGCTGGAGTGCAGTGGCATGAATCTAGGGTCACTGCAACCTCTGCCTCCTGGGTTCACCTAATTCTCCTGCCTCAGCCTCCTGAGTAGCTGGAATTACAGGCACCCACCAGCATGCCTGACTCATTTTTGTATTTTTAGTAGAGATGGGGTTTCACCATGTTGGCCAGGCTAATCTTGAACTCCTGATCTGCCTGCCTTGGCCTCCCAAAGTGCTGGGATTACGGGCTTGAGCCACTGCACCTGGCCAGGAGCCGCTCTTTAAAGCTGCAGTTTTCCCCTAATTTCCAAAAAGAAGTTCTATAAAAAATGGGCACTCTGGTGCCGGGTGCATTGTGATGTTAAGAGTGACGGCTCCTACCCATTTCTGGGGCTAATGCTTTGGTTAAATTGAATCTTGGAGACAGTGAAGTCGAACAGGCAGGAGCTTGGAGCCAGACATACACATAGAGGACTGACATGACCTAGTGTATTTCAGGCGAATCCCTTCACTAGAATGATTATCTTTACCGAGGTCACCATGACTCCTGCCTTCTAGTTATACAGTGAACACACAGAGATAGAATTTGTGGAGTGCCCAGCCCAGCTTCTGCCCCCCAGGAGCAACTCAGAAACTGCTGGTCTTACCCCCGTGTGCAAACCCCAAATGGCTTATGTCTCTGCGCAGGGCTGGCTACATTTTCCATGAGTTGTGCAATCAGAGTTCCAAGCTGGGTTTAATGTCCTCGCGTTGCCATCTTGAGGTGTGAATGTGGGGCCCTCTATTTTCATTTTGCACGGGGTCCCGTGGATGACATAGGTATGATTTTGCATGAGGATTTGCCAGCTGATTTCAGTTTGTTATCTCTGTGTGTGTCTCAGCTGGGCGAAATGGACAAGCAGAAAATCCTCGAGCCAGGAAACTGAGAGCAGAGCCAAATATCCCAAAATTCAAGGGGAAAGCAGTAGGGGAGGTTGTTGGCTTGATTTACTACAGATTTAAAGAGTGCATTTGAATATTGAGTAAGTTATCAGATCTTCCCTCTCTGTCTGTCCATTTACAATTAATATATGCATCCATCCATTCTTCCAACATATATCTGTAAGTATCAGTCCTATTTCATACAATTAACCAAGAATGAAAAATAAAGCATGTGCTTCACTGACACAGATCGCATACTTTGAGCCCTGCTCATCTAGGGTATGTGATAGATGTCCAGAAATAGCTACAGAATAGATAACTATGCACTGTGACCTTTGTATGTGGAATCACTCCTTGGTTACGGGTGATTAGAAAATAGACTGGCATAGCTCTCCTATCTTGGAAAGGGAGTCATGAGGAAGTGATGCTTGAGGACGCAGGTGAGTAGTCAGGAGGAGGCATACTGAGGGCTGAGAACTCCAGCAGGATGAGGGGGTGTAGATGACAGTCCCCATTGCGAAGGATCATGGCTGCCCAGTGCTGTGGGAGCCCTCCTCGTCCTAGAATCAGAGCTGGGCTGATTCTCCTTCAGTCCACCGTTTCCCCACAGCACACACCTCTTCCATTCCAGGAAGTGCCGGGCTGGCTGTGTGAAGGCTGTGGCACTGTCTCAGCCACGTTTGTCTAGATTGGGGCAGATGATGAGATCACAGTGTCGAAGAACACAGGTTTACAGAATGTGATCCATGAGAACTTCTGACATGGAAATGCCACAGGCAAGAGCAGCCATGTCTGCCCATGAGCTTTCCTGTGGCTCACTGGGGATCAAGGAGGAGGCAGCTGTCCTGAGCACGGTTCAGAATGGAAGGACCACTGCATGATCCTGAAACCACTGCCCCGTGGGGCTGAACCCCATCTCTGAAATAACCACCAAATCCATGTTGGTGGTCTACACCCCAACTCACATTCAGGGACCTGGTGGGTACAGAAACCCAGAAACACACATTTTAGTTTTTTAGTCTTACTCTTTCACCCCGCTGGAGTGTAGGGGTGCAATCTTGGCTCACTGCAATGTCCACCTCCCGAGTTCAATCAATTCTCCTGCCTCAGCCTCCCAAGTAGCTGGGATTACATGCACACTTATGCGGAGCTGTAATGGCTCATGTGTCACTATGTCAGGCTAATTTTTGAATTTTTAGTAGAGACGGGGTTTCACCGTAATTTCCAGGGTGGTCTTGAACTCTTGGCCTTAGGTGATCTGTCCATCTTGGCCTCCCAAAGTGCTGGGATTACAAGCATGAGCTACCACACGTGCTCTTAAATTCTTCATTACATGCCCCGTGATGTGGGCAAAGTGCTTGTGTAGAGGCCTTTCTGACTTGGGCAGTGGCTTCTTGTCAGATTGGACTCGGGAGATGATGCACAGGCAGGTGGTGATCATGCTTTGAGGAGCCACGTGGCCAACACAAAGGAACTGCTGTCACTCATCAACAGCCACCTTGTTGGAAGCTGAGGCCACGTGCAGCTTGTGGCTTTCTCTTCCCAAATTCAATCCCACCTCAGTAAGTTGTATGGAAAATAAACATAGGCTATAAACAAACACGTGCATTTACCAATAACAACAAATAGACTTATGAGTCAACACAGGAAAATCAAGAATTATTGCCAGTATTCCCAGAAGACCCTGAGTTTTCCATCTTGAAGAAAACCTTCCAATGTCACCATTTATGTTACCACGATAACACATTACCTGGAATGCAATGCTATTTCTTTATGTATCAGATTTAGCTCAGTTATTATTGACTAAATAATAGATACTGCCTTTTTTGACCTCAATTTAATAGACCATCTCTGCACCACAGATATAAAACTTCCCTTAGGGTCGGGCGCGGTGGCTCACGCCTATAATCCCAGCACTTTGAAAGGCCGAGGCGGGTGGATCACGAGGTCAAGAGATCGAGACCATCCTGGTCAACAAGGTGAAACTCCGTCTCTACTAAAAACACAAAAATTATCTGGGCAGGGTGGCGCTCATCTGTAGTCCCAGCTACACAGGAGGCTGAGGCAGGAGAATTGCCTGAACCCAGGAGGCGGAGGTTGCGGTGAGCCGAGGTCGCGCCATTGCACTCCAGCCTGGGTAACAAGAGCGAAACTCCGTCTCAAAAAAGAAAAAAAAACTTCCCTTCATTTATTTACAATCATATTTGAAGTTGATTGGTGTTATGGTGTATAGTTTATTTGGTTCAATTTTGTTGCCACATAATCTTTATTTATTTATTTGTTTTTTGAGACGGAGTTTCGCTCTTGTTACCCAGGCTGGAGTGCAATGGCACGATCTCGACTCACCGCAACGTCCGCCTCCTGGGTTCAGGCAATTCTCCTGCCTCAGTGTCCTGAGTAGCTGGGACTACAGGCGCACACCACCGTGCCCAGCTAATTTTTCTATTTTTAGTAGAGATGGGGTTTCATCTCGTTGACCAGGATGGTCTCGATCTCTTGACTTTGTGATCCACCCGCCTTGGCCTCCCAAAGTGCTGGGATTATAGGCATGAGCCACCACGCCCAGCCATGTTGCCACATAATCTTAATGTATACATGCATAGTGTACGTGTTCAGTACTTGTCGAATTGACTTTTAATGTATGTGTCTACATGAATGACAACACTGTCAAGATTCCTGTGAATATGTCATCATGCAAATGCACACTTTCCTCTATGGCATACAGTTCTGAGTCAGACTGGGGTGTCTCTTTCTTTAAGAAGACAATTCTAAAATAGTACTCAAATGGACGGATGCAATCTGGACCTCTATCCTTAATCTGCAGGAGTTCTAAAATACTTAAAATTTCTTCCACAGTTGATAATCACCGTTGTTTTAGGGAAAGTGATTTAGAATTTGTTATCAAATTTCACTGAAATGGTAGCACCATGCTGAAGTGTAAATTATCGTATTGTGACCCATTAAACATAAGGAACATGTGCACATCGATGCTATCAGTGAGGCACACTGCAGCTGGCTCACACTCACTTGCAAAAGACAATTCCATTCTCCACGTTCCAAATCAGCATTCAGGGCATTGGCACGGCCACTTCGAAGCTGGCCGTGAAGAGAGTATTTATGCCAAATAAAGAGGCAAATGCCACAAGACAGAGCTTTTAAATGATATTTTTTCATAGAATCGGGTCACTGGCTCACCTGCAGGTTGGCACTTTAAGTGCGTGCTGACATTCAAACGTATAGTATCTCTGAAGCAATACTACACATTTGTTCCAAGTGTCATATGATGGAGAGAGGAGTTTGAGGATTCCCAAGAGGGTTTTAGCAAACTATTATAGATTTCTTAGTCTGAAACTTATTTTCACCCATTCATTCCATCGTGTAAACCATATTCTGTGTCTTGAGCTGAAGAGACAGAGCTCAATAGCACAGATGAGGGACTAGCTTAACTGACAGTCGGTGACAATGCATTCCAAGAAGACCAGAGCATGGAGTTTATATTGGTGTGGGTCTGCACCTGCCGTGGGTGATGTGCCCCCGTTTTATAAGGTAAGCAAATCGGAGACAGGAGTCAAGGAAAGTCAGTAACGGTAGGAAGGGAAGACATCAGAATTTAATTGAGGAAGAGTTCTGAACTAGAACTCTCAAACACGATGACATTTATTTCAGTCCATATTCTCCGCAGACAGTTCACCCAATATACGATGACGATTTCCTCCCAAAGCCTTCTGGGGTTATGAGATTTGATTTCAAGTCTCTGTTGTTCTAAATGGTGCATTGTTCTCTATCACTCTCCTCTTCTTCCTGCGTTTTGGGTGTTTTTTTTTTTTTTTCTGACTGTGCATGACTCCAGTAGGAGGACTCCAAGGGTCATAAGGACCAAGGCAGCTATGCCCATCCTGATGAGATTCCCGTCTGTGTAATCCTGGGGGTGTGAGCCTAGGAATTGTGGGCAAAGATGTCACCAAAGCAGTGAAGACCAAAATCATCCTAAAGTCCCTGGACGCCCACGC